ATTGCCTCATCTGGAGGTGGATCCACCTCCATCAGGTCTTCATCCGGAGGCAGATCCACCTCCATGGGCTCCACAGCGCCGGGCACCGCTCCTATGCCACGACCGCCGGCCCTCTTCCACTTCCTCACATAAGGCAGTGGCCGCCTTTTCTTTGCTCTGAGGACTGAGTCCTCTCCGGACCCACGCAAGCGTGGGCAGCCTTCGCTCCAGGTCCTCTTCCTCCCATTCATGATGGCTGTAAGAGGGCCTGGAAGCTCAGCGAGTGGCGGGCCCTGCGCAGGGGCCTTTTATAGGGCCTGGCACAATCCGGGGGGCAGATGCCACTGTGACATCAGGAAGCCTCTGTGACGGTGGCCAACGCATGGCCAGACGTGGCTGTGTTGGGAGAGGTGTCGGTGGCCTGAAAGACGCCCTCACAAGGCGAGGCAGGAGGAGGAGGGTCGGGGGGCAGAGGGCCCCTCTCCTGGGGATGGCTCTCCCTGGCCATTTGGCCTGCCAGAGAGACAGGCTGCCCCTCGGGCACAGGGCCTGCCCTCCAGCCCCCTCCTCATTCTGTGCCTGGGCTCCCTGTGCCACAAGACGGTGGCAGCAGTGTTTCCGGAGGGGCAGGGCCTCCACTACCCCCCTGCCACCGACCGGGCTCCCTGCGAGTGGCGCAGCCCCCCATGCTGACAGCAGCTGAGAGGGGGCAAAGCACCCAGACAGCCTGCAGATGGGCAAGGGAGGCACGGCCAGGTGCTGCCAGGTCTCCCAGCAGTCAATAAAAGCTCTGCTGACGCTCAAGTGCTGCGGGAGCCCTTCTCAGGGGCCATCTCCTACACCTACCCGTGCCCCCAGAGCATGAAGAGGTGCCATTACTTGTGCCCCGAGGCATGGGGGAGGAGAGCGCCTGGTCTCTGCGCTGCTGTGCCGCCACAACACGGGCAGTCTGTGGGAGGGCTGCCGAGGTCCTGGGGGCCTGGAGGTGGAGGGGTGGGGGGGGTCAGTCTGAGGTTCACCCTTGCTCTCTTCCCTAGTGTTCAAGAGAACCCTTCTCAACGTTTTTGTGGCTTCTCTGTTTCCTCGTTCAGAGGAAGAGCTCTCCTGTCTGGCTGGAAGAATCACAAGTAGCTCCTGACTGGGAGCCTTCAGGGGCATTTCCATGGGGAAGCTCCTGCCTGCCTGAGACACCCAGTGCACACCCCTTCCTGCTCAAGCAGGGTCACCTACTGCACCTAGCCCAGGACCATGTCCAGGCAGGTTTTGAGTATCTCCAGGGAAGGAGGCTCCACAGCCTTTCTGGTCAACTTATTCCAGGGCTCTGTCCCCCTCACAGTAAAGCTTTTCCTCATGTTCAGATGGAACTTCCCTTGTTTCGCTTTGTGCCTGCTGCTTCTCATCCTGTATCTGGGCTCTACTGAAAAGAGTCTGGACCCCATGCTCTGGACACCTTCTCCTAACGTATCTATATACACTGATAAAATCCCATCTCACCCTTCTCCAGGTTCTACAGACCTAGCCTGTTATGCCTAGGCACCTTTGCAAAACTCTACTGAGAAATTAATTAAATTCCATTCCTATTTGTAAACCCCTGAAGGATGTTTGCTAAGGGTATCATTCACTATAGTTTTTGTTATTGTGTTGAAGCATCACCCATTAAAACGACAGCTATGTTGTGACCCAAAATGTTGTTTTCATGTAATTGCAAGGATCTGCAGGGTATTCAGAGGCAAGGTCCTTGGCATGTACTTGAATTAGGTTTATGTGGCAAAGGCTTGGTAGCAGGGGGTCTGCAGGGGTGGCCTCTGTGAGAGGAGCCCAGCAGCTGCCCTGTGTCAGATCAGAGCCAGCTCCCGCCAGCTCCAAAAGGGACCTGCTGCTGGCTGGAGCTGAGGCAAGGAGTGAGGCTGGTTAGGCCTCTGGAAGAGCAGATTTAAGAGGTGGGGAAAAAAGTCTGCTGTGTGACAACAGCTGCTGGGAGAATGAGGAGTGAGAAGCAGCCCTGCAGCCCCCCAGGTGAGTGCAGCAGGAGGGCAGGAGGTGCTCCAGGCAGGCAGCAGCAGTTCCCCTGCGGGCTGTGCAGGGAGAGGCCCCCAGTGGAGCAGGCTGTCCCCCTGCAGCCCATGGAGCAGATCTCCACGCTGCAGCCCCCCCGTGGGTGGAGGAGCCCCCGGTGGAGCAGGTGGATGTGGCCTGGAGGAGGCTGTGGCCCATGGAGAGCCCCCGCAGGAGCAGGGGGTCTGGGGGGAGCTGCCGCCCAGCCGTGGGGGACCCGTGCTGGAGCAGTTTGCTCCTGGGGGATGGATGGATGGAGCCCGTGGGACGGAGCCGTGTGGGAGCAGTGCTTGAGGAGCTGCTGCCTGTGGACAGCCCGTGTGGGATCAGCTGGGGAAGGACGGCGTCCCGTGGGAGGGACCCCACGGGGAGCAGGGGCAGGGAGGGACCCTGAGGGTCACTCTGCTGAGTCTGCTTTGCCCGTCATGATACTTGTTGAGCAATCGCCCCGTCCTTATCTCAGCCCTGGAACCCTTTGCATCGTATTTTCTCCCCCTTTCCCTTTGAGGAGGGGGAGTGAGAGAGCGGCCGTGGTGGAACTCGGCTGCCCACCCGGTTCAAACCACCGCAGTTTCAAAGTCCTGGGAAAGATTTCTTTAAAGAAATTAAACAAGGTGTTTAACAAAGAAATGCAGAGTTTCCTTTTTGAAGCTTCCTGGAGAATTGGGGTTCTTTCCTATTCTCAAATCAGAGGAAGGGAATTGTTGATTTCACCTTCTTTTTTCTTACATGGAAATAAAAGGTGAACTGCTCTCCAAGTACGGGCAACGTATCAGAATCAAGCTCTTTTTGTCTGTAATCCCTTCTCAAGGAAAAGATTGATCACACACCTTCCACAGATGTAGGGGAGCAGGGAATAATGTTTGAACTACTCTAATTCAAGTCAGTTTGGGCATAGTGGTACTTCCCTAGCTGTTTCTGAGGCAGACGCGTTAGCAACAGAGAGTGTTGTGCCGTCACTGGGAGGCGCCTGCGGTGATGACTTCAGAAACAGAACTGAATTGTGTCACCACAGCACTTGGCAACAGCTGCCTCTGCGCACGTTTAGCTGGGAGGGACAGAGAAGGGTGCTGGATGTGATGAAAGCCACGTGAGGATTTGTGGATCTCACCTCGAGGTGCACAGAGAGGGCCCATGCCCTTCTGTAAGTGTTTTGATGCTTGGCTGGGGAAAACTGTGTGGTTTTGTTGTGAATGTTTCATTTTAGTATTCTGTAGTTTGTGTCAAGTCCTTACAGAAGCCTCAAGGTTGGTACTTTGCTCAATGATGGAGCTGCACAGAGTGAGAACAGACCCAATGTACGGGTGAGGGCCTCTGCACGTTCTCTTCTTCCTACAGACGATCAACAAATAAGGGTAGACAGAGAAGAGTGTGCTGTGGTCCTCCCATAGACCGCAAGTACTAAAGCATAAACAAGAGGCTTAAGAGTCCCCCTGTCATGTTAAAATTCAGGACAGCAATGGACTTCATCACATGGGCTGGCCTGTCGACTAGTGTCTCAGGCTGTGGCGTATGAAGATGCACTCCATCTGCTTTCAGGGTAGCAATTGCAGTGGGCAAGCTGCCTGACCTTAACATTGTTCATTCCATTTTTCACCTGAAAAATGGAATCTTTCTAGAAAAAAAAGAAGAAAAAAAAAAAAGAATTTAAAAAAAAAAAAGGGAATTGGGATCAAAATAAAAGGATTTCCTTTCCATTCATTACATGTTCTTAACTTGACAGATTTGATTATTGACTTAGAAGGCAAATATCTGGCCAGACTGCAAGACTTGTGCTCGCAGCGTGGGACAGCTCTCGTAAAGGTGATTCAGGGTAGCTTCTGGAGAACAAGACATCAGATCTCCCAAACAGCTTTCTTTGTGCTAATGTAGGAAGGGCGAGTAAGAGTAAAGGTAAGAGTCCAGGTACCGTAAGAAGCGGAAGGTGTGAAGGAAACTTCCTTCTGGCTGATACAGCTCCATATCTAGTTGTCAAGTATGAAGAGAGCAGCTCTAAGTTTCTTGGGGAGAGGAAAACAAAGAGACTGGGAGATGGTACAGAGAAAAAAATGGGATGAGCTATTTCAGGAAATCCTAGTAACTGGAAATAGAGATTGGAAGAGTGCTTTAAGCCAAGACAGAAACTTTTTAAAACTAAAGCCTAGGAGTTAGATGAACCAAGAAATGAATCCATTTTGATTATGCAGTTGTGTCCAGCGTTATCTTGGGAAATATGGTTTCCACATAAATGTATCTGGTGCTTGAAGTTTTCCTAAGGCCCTTCTCTGTGTATTCCCTACTGTTTGGTAAGCAGTGAGGTCACACTGCAGACAGCAGCACGTCCTCTCCCCACTACTTAGCTGTCTGTTCTCACAACATCTCTAGGAACAGAATGGCTTGGACACAACTGCGCCTAGGACCGAGTTCATTCAAGCTGGTGGACAAGGTAAAAGCTCTGGACAAGCGAAGGGGAGGGAGGGATGGATGGACATACAATATGATCACTTTAATCTCATTTCTCTAAGAATCCTGGCTGAGAAAACAAAACAAAACAAAACAAAACAGAATCAAAAAGAACAGAACAGAACAGAACAAATGAAGCAAGCAGCTAGCTTGCTGGAGACATTGTCTGGGAAACAGTGAAAACACTTGCAGACAAAAAACATACCAAAGGACTAACTCTTTGAGCTTAATTCTAATCCAACAGCATAACCTCAAACTCCTGTTTCTGTTCGTCACAGGCTGGTACAGTAACATGTCACACTGGATGACTTTGCAGCATAGATGTCAGGAATGCAGCTTGGGATCACCTCCTTCTACTTAGAGGTCAGTTTGAAGGGATGAGCAAGTAATTTTTCCTGGGTTGACAGAAATCTAAAGTCTGTTTTCTAACACTCTTACAGACACTTCTCTGTCCATCGGCCTGTCCTGCCAACTCTGGTGTGAGCGTGAAGTTGTGGCAAGAGGGATTTCCCATTCCTATTTGACCTGGTGGACACCAGCTCTCCTAGGAAATGGCTGATGTTGCTGAGGAGGCAGCAGTATCAAAGCCCTTGTTGATGAAGGTACAACAAGCTGGGGAGGCTTTGGCATTTCTGCACAATGCTGCTCCCTGATTGTCACTCAAGACTCAGATTCTGAAAGAAGCAAAGCAAGCTAGAGGAAAACTGTACGTCCGGGTAATTTTCTTTCTTTCTGTTTTTTCATTCTTCACTTGTAAGAAAACCTAAGTCTTTAAACCATTTGTTTGCAAACACGGCTTAATGGAAATGCTTATGGGTGTGCTCCTTCACCTTGTTTGGAACCTGCTTCACCTCGCTTCAGCTATAGGACACCTATGCTCAAATGTATGCTTCCCATGATAAAGCGGTGTTCTTTCGGTATTCTTTTCTGAGATGGTTGCAGGTGAGGTTGAAAAGAGTTGTCAGTAGGATTCTTCGTTTCATTTGCAGGATCCAAAACTCCGTATTACAGCGGATCTTCTCCTCTGATCTGAAAAGCTTCACAGGCCAAAAGAGAATTGAGATGACGAAGGAAACAGAGAATGCTGACCAGTATTTCCAATTACCACCCGTAAGTTTTGTGAAAGAGTCCAGTGCATTTCTGTAGTGGTAGAAAGTTAATAAAGTCATGATCGTGCGCTTGAAGGCAAGCAATGCTACAAAAATGAAGAATGCAAGGCCCTGCTTAAGGGCAATCTTCAGACTGCTTCTAGATCAACAGCTTATTTGGTTCTTCCACAACCTCATCTCCGCTTGCTTAGAAGTTGTGAAAGTCGGAAGCACACTCCGTCTTTTTCATCCCCTCTGTGTATCTTTTCCCTGACAGCAACTTCTGTCTTGGCTCTTCACATCCAGCCAGAGCAGTTGCTTTGCCTCCGCAACCTGCAGGCTGTCCTCTCGTGTGTACCTGTGCTGGACTGAGGGCAATGCTTGTAACGCACACAGATGCTGTATTCACTAGGACTTTTAGAAAAGAGAGCAAGAAGCTAACCTGCGCAGCAGTTTCTTAGGTTTCTGCATATCTATCTCTCTATCTATCTCTCTGCGTATGTATTTCATTACTTCTTTACTTGTTTAAAGATCCTTTAAATACAGTAGATACTTTAAGAAAGCTTACTTGTTCTTCTCCTTTACTTGTTTTTAACGTTTACTTTTCTAACCGATCCTTAATGTTACAACATTGGATTTCTTTAGTTCTCAGTCCTTAGAAGTTCTCAAAGCACATCAGTGATTTCTCTATTTCTCAATCTTTCCATCTGCATTGAGACCTCTTATCTGAATTTAGGTATTAGGTGAAGAAGAACACTGCAACCAGCTGAAGCCGTATCGGACACATGCTTCTGCTAGGAATTCATTCCGAGTGATTCCACGGTGTACTTTAGACAGGTTTGCTCTGGTCCTCTGGACTCAGCATCCCCAAGGGATATTTCAAAGCTCTCGGAAGGACCTGTCGTTATCTCTGACACTGCAGCCTCCATTAGGAACGGGTAAATATTCCTTGCCCTTGTGGGAAGGAACTACTCAGTTAGCTGTTTCTAACCCAAATCTCTTTGTTGTCTTCTATTGACAGACACCACCCGGCTAGCCAAGCTAAACCTTTGAAAATGGAAGGAGTGGGACATCTTCCAAAGCCTGCTGCTGCTTCTAAGCAGAACTGCCATGTAGGTGGGGACACAGCAAGAGGACACGTCCAGGCCAGGGTGGAACTGCAAGGCACCTGTCTGAGCCACACAACGAAGTCAGCGATTCCCAGTTGGAGACTGTTGCTCAACTAGTGACAAAGCAGCTGGAGCGCTTCTGGTTGCTGCTGATGGGTTCCAGTGAATCAGCCAGGGATATGAGCTACGAGAATGGCTGAAGCGATCTGAACTTACCTGAAAGAAAGAAGACAAGAGGGGAGGGAAGGGGAGGGAATAAAAAGAAGGGAAGGGAGGGGAGGGGAGGGGTGGGGAAGGGAGGGAATAAAAAAAAGGGAAGGGAGGGAGGGGAGGGAAGGGAGGGAAGAAAAAAAAGGGAAGGGAGGGGAGGAGAGGGGAGGGGAAGGGAGGGAAGAAAAAAAGGGAAGGGAGGGGAGGGGAGGGGAGGGGGAGGGGAGGGGAGGGGAGGGTAGTGTAGTGTAGTGTAGTGTATTGTACTGTAGTGTAGTGTAGTGTAGTGTAGTGTAGTGTAGCGTAGTGTAGCATAGTAGAGGGGAGGGGAGCGTAGGAGAGTATAGGGTAGTGTAGGACAGCGGAGTTTAGGGGAGTGTAGGGTAGGATAGGGGAGGGGAGCGTAGGGAGCATAGGGGAGGGGAGCATAGGGTAATGTAGGGTAGTGTAGCGAAGGGGAGTGTAGGGTAGTATAGGGGAGGGGAGTGTAGCAGAGTGTAGGGGTGTGTAGGGGAGGGGGAGTGTAGGGGAGTGTAGGGGTGTGTAGGGTAGTGTAGGGGCGGCAGTGATAGGTAGTATAGGGGAGGGGGGGAGTTGTAGGGGAGTGTAGGGGTGTGTGGGTAGATACGAGGAGGGGAGGTGTAGGGGAAGTGTAGGGGTGTTAGGGTTAGTATAGGGGGGGGAGGGGATTGTAGCGGGAGTGTAGGGGTTGTGTAGGGTATAGTTATAGAGGAGGGGGGTAGGGGAGTGTAGGGGTGTGTAGGGTAGTATAGGGGAATGGGATATAGGGGTGTGCTAAGGTAGTATAGGGGAGGGGAAACGTGTAGGGGTTGTGTAGGGTAGTATAGAGGAGGGGGTGGGGAGTATAGGGGAGTGTAAGGTAGTATAGGGGAGGGGAGGGGAGGGGAGGGGAGTGTAGGGGTGTGTAGGGTAGTATAGGGGAGTGTAGGGGAGTGGCGTGTAGGGTAGTGTAGGGTGTGTGTAGGGTGATAGGGGAGGGGGATTATAGGGGTGTGTGTAAGGTAGATAGGGGAGGGGAGTGTAGGGGTGTGTAGGTAGTATAGAGGAGGGGAGTGTAGGGGAGTGTTGGAAGTATAGGGGAGGGAGGGGATGTAGGGGTTGTTGTAGGTAGTTTAGTATAGGGGAGAGTGTAGGGAGTGTAGGGGTGTTTAGGGTGTATAGGGGGTGTGTAGGGTTAGTATTGTAGGGTAGTATTAGGGGAGGGGAGGGGAGGGGGGCGGAGGGGAGGGGAGTGTAGGGTGTGTAGGGTAGTATAGGGGAGTGTAGGGGAGTGTAGGGGTGTGTAGGGTAGTATAGGGGAGTGTAGGGGAGTGTAGGGTGTGTAGGGTAGTATAGGGGTGTGTAGGGTAGTATAGAGGTGTGTAGGGTAGTATAGAGGTGTGTAGGGTAGTATAGGGGAGGGGAGGGGAGGGAAGGGGAGGAAGGGGGGGGGGAGGGAGGGGAGGGGAGGGGAGGGGAGGGAGGGGAGTGTAACAGAGTGTTGGGACAGGGAGCATAGGGGAGGGGAGGGGAGGGAAGGGAAAAGAGCAGATGGGAGGGGTGGGGAGTGCTACCATAAATAAAATTGCCAAATACATGACATTTTGGATCTGGAGCCAATCTTTGTGTTGCTGAAGGGACGCAAGACACAGACTCCTGATGGCTCTTGAATAGGAGGCGTTTATTGCCCTTTTTCACTCCTACATGTCCTCTCCCCGTAGCCCCACGTGCTGTCCACGCGCCCGAATCTATCATACAGTTGGTCAGAGACCCTCAGACACGCGCCTGGAGCCAGCCAGCAATTGCCCACTGCCCAAAGGTCCTCTTTAACACTGTAGCCAATTCTTTATCCACGCGTCCCTCAAGGTTTTTTTTCTACCGCTTGTTTCCTCATTACCTCTAATTCAGGGACCTGCGAAACAGTGCGAAGCCACCTGAAAATTCCCTCCCCACACGTTGCCATTCATTCCACAACCTGATTTATCGCTGCCATCCGCGCATTGCACAGTGCCATGAAAGGTTTGGCGTGCACAGAGGTGGCTGAGGATTTTCAGAAAGAACTTTCCTTAAGAACTGCATCAAGACTTTTGCTGGAAGGCAAAAGATCTGGTGATTGATTAACGTAGGGAAGGCAGCTGAGCAAGGAAAGCATCTTCCAAACTTCCAAATATTTCCTGGATACAGAACTACAACTCCTCTGCTCTCCGCTTAGGAGTTTCTGTCACCTGCTTAGGAAGCAGAAGCAGTAAAATGGGATTTAGAGGATCCCGCTGAAGCGTCAGTGCCAGTTAGAGGAAACCATCAATGTACGGGGTTTGAAGAGAGTTTGACCAGTGTTCCAAGGAACATGTACTAGTGCTGCATATAGATGTATGTAAATATCTCTACAGCTGGCTTGTATCAGACATAGAGTGGCCATCAGGACTAGGGAAGCGGTTGTCCCTCTGTGCTCGGCTCTGGTGAGGCCGCACCTCGAGCACTGTGTTCAGCGAAGACCTCGAGGTGCTGGAGCGTGTGCGGAGAAGGGCTCTGAAGCTTGTGAAGGGTTTAGAGAACAAGTCTGGTGAGGAGCGGCTGAGGGAGCTGGGCTTGTTCAGCCTGGAGAAAAGGAGGCTCAGGGGAGACCTTCCTGTGCTCTACAGGAAGCTGAAAGGAGGCTCCAGAGAGGTGGGGATCGTTCTCTTCTCCCAAGCCCCAAGTGACAAGACAAGAACAAAACCCCTTAGGTTGTACCAGGGGAGGTTTCGGTTGGGTATTGTGAAAAATTTCTTCACCGAAAGAGTTGCTCTGGTGGGTTTACGTGGCAAGGTTTTGGTAGCAGGGGGCCATAGGGGTGGCTTCTGTGAGAAGAATCTAGAAGCTGCCCCACGTTAGATAAGGGCTCCACTGCTGGCCAGAGCCAAGCCAAGAAACGATGTCGCTTGTTCCTCTGTGAGAGCATATTGAAGAAAGGAGAACAAAAATAACAAAAAAAAAGCTGCTTCACAGGGAGGGAGAAAGAGAGGAGAAGCAGCCCTGCAGCCCCCCAGGTGAGTGCAGCAGGAGGGCAGGAGGTGCTGCAGGCAGGCAGCAGCAGTTCCCCTGCGGGCTGTGCAGGGAGAGGCCCCCGGTGGAGCAGGCTGTCCCCCTGCAGCCCATGGGTCCCCCACGGAGCAGATCTCCTCGCTGCAGCCCCCCCGTGGGTGGAGGAGCCCCCGGTGGAGCAGGTGGATGTGGCCTGGAGGAGGCTGCGGCCCATGGAGAGCCCCCGCAGGGCAGGAGCAGGCCCCGGGCCGCAGCTGCAGCCCCCCCGTGGAGAGGAGCCCCCGCAGGAGCAGGGGGTCTGGGGGGAGCTGCCGCCCAGCCGTGGGGGACCCGTGCTGGAGCAGTTTGCTCCTGGGGGATGGATGGATGGATGGAGCCCGTGGGACGGAGCCGTGTGGGAGCAGTGCTTGAGGAGCTGCTGCCTGTGGGCAGCCCGTGTGGGATCAGCTGGGGAAGGACGGCATCCCGTGGGAGGGACCCCACAGGGAGCAGGGGCAGGGAGGGAGCGAGAAGGAGCAGTGGAGACAAAGTGTCATGGGTTGACCACAGCCCCTATTCCCTTGTGCCATTTGGGGAAAGTTGCTAGAAGAGTGTGAATGGGTGGGGAAGGTATTAGTTTTGCTCATCAGGTCTGCTATTGATAGGCAATATATTTTATTACTCTCCCTATGCTTCGTCTGTTTTGCCCTTGATGTTAATTTGTGAACGATCTCCCTGTCCTTATCTCAATCCTTGAGCCCTTTTTCACTGTATTCTTTCCCCCTTTTCCTGAGGAGCGGAAATGACTGATTGGTTGTGGTAGATTTCAATTGCCCATTAGGGTGAAAACACTGGAGTATGTGGGTAAAATTTGAGTATTTTTGCTATATCAAAACATTCATTAGCACCTTAAATGTATTTTCAAAAGTCCTGAGCATGCAGGTGGGTAACTGATACTTTATGGGTATGTGAGGAAACAGCAAGAGTGGAAAAGTCTAGTTGGACCAATTGCTGTGTTTTTTCGAGTCTGTTACAGAGCCAGGGTCATGCAGTAATGTCAATATAGTAATGCAAGGTGGTAGCAAAGAACAACTGCCAAATTCAGTATTTTCCAAACTCTTAAAATTTAACTTTTGGAGAAAAAATATACTCAGAAAAGTATATACTCATACTCTTATATGTGTATGCCTTTATTATTCTAGTTTCAGTGGTGTCTCCTTTAAACTATGATCACGAGCTGATTACTAAAATTTCACGAGCATCATCAAAATAGCCTGGAATTTTAAAGTGGATGCATTTGAGCTGTCCTCTATAGGTATTACTGCCACTTAACTTTCCTGGTGTACTCTTTCCACATGCACCTTATGAAGGTAGAATCTATAGTGAAACCATGAGCAGCTTTGCTGAGTAAGTAAACCGAGGGTGTAGGTCAGAAAATTCGTATTTGAATAATAAGATAAAAACATGCCTGAGGTGCACTTTCTTGGGTGAGTGTATTTTATTCTCTTCTGGTACCTCTATAGTGAAAAAAACCACAACAAAGCATTGTTTATCCAGGACATTCATTTCTAAATGTTTAAAGAGTGGTTTTCCTGAAGAGGTTGCATGAA